TTTTTGCATTTGAATTATTAAAATAAATCTATTTACCTATATAATATGAAATATATTTTTTACATATAGGATTTGGGCGAAATATCTTCTTCCAAAAGTGGTTGAAAATCGTACTTACATGGGGGTCCGCTACGTATTCTTTACTTTTGGCACACACAGCTGGTTAATGAAGGAAACATGGACCAAACAAGTATTGGCGCCAAATTTCTAAGAGGCGTCACTAGCGCTGCAGCGTTTTCAGCTGATCTCCGAGCTTCGAGCCGTGCTTGAAACAAAAAACCTGTTGCAACTCAGCCTTGGAAGGGTCCACGCTGGAATCTGGCAATGTTTGCTAGCGCGGATCTAGCGCAGTCCTAGCGCGCGGCTAGCGCATTTTTCAGCCAGCCACTTTTCAAAAACCTGACGAGGTTCTGAACATGCCCTGAGGCAAATACTAGCGTCACTAGCGCAAGTCTACCGCAAACCTAGCGCCCACCTGCAGAATAGGTTTAGCTGGGGGCCCGCTACATAATCAATCGAAAAACAACATCATAAGCTACTTTCGACCCCTTTATCTATTTTTTTTGATTATAGACTTTTGGCCGGACTCCATATATATATATATACCAATAATATCTTTTTGTCAACATTACACCCGAGCGAATATATATAATTCGCGCAAGTCGGATGCAATATCTACCCGTTTTATGGATCACTGGATTTCCCGTCAATTGGATTGATGATATGATTCCTCTTTTATATCCTTCTATATTTTCTCAGAAGGGAATTCCAAATCTGTATACAGTCGTGTGAAAGGGCCCAAGCAATCTCACGTGTTTTCACTGTGTTGTTGGGCATATTGATTATACTACACAAGGCACGGGTTCTGGTGGCTCCGGTTCCGGCGGTTTCGGTGGATCCGGGGGTGGGGTCGGATCCAAAGTGGTCCTCCCACAAAAGATGGGGGGCATCACGGCTTTGTCTGGACAGCAATGGTGGCAAAAGCACAAGCCCATGTAACTCCCCAAGGTTGGGACTAGCCAAATAAGAACATGCACGCCCGGTGTTCCAAAACACTCTTCGTAGCAGTTGGAGTGCCCAGCGTAGCCACAGAGTGGCTCAAGAATGGCAGCTGTCAGGGTCCCTGCACCAGCCACGAAGGAAAAGAAGGCTTTCATGCAGTACTCCTGGCCAGCTTGATGGCTCTATTGAACGCAACAAGTGAGAGCTTAGAGAGCCATATGCGAAGAGATCATAAGAGATCAACACATGGAAGGCTTGCCGAGATTCAACCCGGCAATTGATATTTTATCACAGCTTGGTACAACCCTTTTGGGAAGAATCATCCAATGATTGAAAAAGTCCAAAGTGCCGGCACTTCACCATGCCATGACTCCTCACCCAGTCGACCTGGTCATGTTCAGAATCTGCTGACCCTGTGGCCGTGGGTCACAAGTTCTCCAATCAAATTTGATGTCAACATCGGTGTCATTACACCAACCGCAATGGATTTTGACTGCAAGCAGGGACTTAGGAACCTGTGCCAAAGGTAGTGGATATTTGACTCCACAAGTGCCTTCATAGCACCACCTAGGTATACCACCTACATACCTTATACCCAGGTGAGTTTAGAACTAGCCGTATTCTCTGCAGACTAACCGCATCATGTCCTGGTCTTCTACCTTCACAAAGTGGTGGGCTACAGCCTGGGTTGGACAGGGACCGCGGAACGACCAAACGGTGGGTCACAACCCCTAAGACCTTGGTTCACCTACCGTCGTGTCGGTCGTTTGCCTGCTCCATGGTGGACTGGTCGGGCGGGTTTTGACACCCAAGTCTGGCAGTCGGAGAGCATATCAGTCCCAAAAGGGCCTAGTCTATAGCTCAGGGGTGAGGAGCAATATAATTTACGAGCCATGTAGGCTCAACATCTTAATTTATTAAACCGGTAAAGTGCTGATTGCTGCTTGGAAACACAAACTGGTTCAAACCCCGCATGTAACCCTGGAAAGCAGGAAAACCCAATAGCTTTTGGATGTTTTGGTCCCTCAATTTCCACAAACGACATCTGAGTAAGGCGGAATCGTCGCGTTCTCGGCAGAATCTTTATCTCAAGCAGCCCATCCCATAGTACACGACCACGAGAGCATCGTCGCAAAGAACATGATGCCCTGCAGGTCTTCCCCCAATTTCGCCGCCGAGGCTGCCAGCGACAGGCCAACCACAAAGATGGTCGACACCCACATGACATTGCCTTGGCTGAAACCCATCCGGATTGACTGGGGCTGTATTACGGACCACAATCGCTGCCGATGAACCACCCAAACACCTTTGTGGTGATAGTCTTGGTATGTCTGAATCTCAACGAAGCTGTAAACACCGGGATATCCCAACAAGGGTTCACTTCAATCGTTTGGGCCGCGTGCTTTGTTTCTTCAATCAACAGTCGGGCTAGAGATTTTTCACACACACACTTAGCTCTTTATTGTTCAACATCCTCCGTGGTGAGAGATTTTATAGTCAAATTATATCAAATTATAGTCATTTTATAGAGGACCAAGCGCGGAGGATTGTTTAACACTGGAATTGGACATTCTGATGGCAGAGGCAGGTTTCGCCCTCAAACTTGCTGTCGTCATTTGGTGTAACACTTCCGATGGCTGACCGGAGAAATGAACGATTATGTGACACGTGTGCAAAGGTGACAGTGAGTGGATGGCAGAAATTCCCACTATGCTCTGCAGCCCCTTAGCCGCAGCTGCTCTCTGTTTGAAGGATTAAGATTTGGACCAGTCTTGATAGCCGCCAAACAACATCATAAATCTCCATCTCCATTGCGCTTCTATGCCCTTCTAATACCAAATGGGTGGAGACAATCAGGGAAGATCCCAGCCAGAGAGAGAGAGACTTTGGTCAACTGCCTTCCTCTGCTGGCATGTCTAAGCAAAGGGGAAAATCGTCAACACCAGGCATGTGGCATGATCCCGCCTTTGGGGTTTTGCAACACTCAGTCAGCTGGTCGACGACCTGAAGAAAGTATGCTATTGACTATTGACCCATCCGACCTCTGCCCAGGCTCGGGCCCCTTTCTGGAGCAAATCGCCTTCTAAAACACAACAGCAGTTCAGCAGCAAGAAAGCCTAGGCTGGCCATGCATGGCTCTGACGACGGACGCCAAACAGGTACTTGTAACCAGGCCCTACTTTTTGCTTGCACTTTTGAGGTCTTTCGAATCATCCGTGACCTACGAACAAAAGGTAGCTAGAAACTCAAGGGTTTCGGGGTTCAGGGTCAAACACCCTCTTGCAAAGGGTTACAGTAGTACATCATACAAACATCAACACATTAACATCATTAACTCTCTTGCAATAGACTGCCAAAGCAGGAACGATGTATGATTCAACTCAACACATGATGCAAAATTCTCGGCCGACGTTGCTTGACTGCTTTGGGGCCAGCCTTTCACCTAATATGGGCCCTTGCTTCTTACACCCATGCTTTTCTATGTTTTGTTTGCATCTATATAAATGAATGATGCAGTGTGCGCGTGTGGCGTACTTAGATATTTATTTTAGAACACCGATGACTACTGTGTTTTTAAAACTTTTGGTACATCGATCATTTTTGGTCTGTATTTTGTTCCCAGGGCAACGAACACACTCGAGTTATCAAGAAGCTGTTGGGCAAAGGGGAGGGTGTGTGGGGGAGCGGGGACAAAATAAGGGACTTGGACATTGTAGTAGTTCCAGTAGTTGTTCTCCACCTGCCAGGTGAGGGTCTTCAGATTTTGACAACTTTTCACCCTCAGAGTGGGGATCACTCGAAGTAAAGCAATTTCAATTTTCAAGTTTTTGGAATCCCAACCCTTGCAAAACCTGTCGCCCTATTTTTGGAGCCCATGAAGCCCTCTCAAATTGCCAAGTGTTGAAACGCACCGGTTGGAGCAAATCCTTCCAACATATCAAGCTGACCATCAAAGAAGTTCCAGCATATTGAGACATTACTGTGCTGCCAGTAGTAAGTAGGTATATTACTGTGCTGCCGGTAGTAAGTAGGTACCGAGTACATAATAAACTTCATAGAGTCATAGAGATCGTCAAGGCTCACTCTGCATTCCAAGGACCTTTTCGAAACCCAAGGACCATAGAGCAGTGGGTGTCCCACAGCTTTCCAGACCCAATACTTTGGGAGATCATCTCTTTCTCCATCCATTTCACCACCACAGCGCGTCTTATGGTGGACGTGTTGCTGTCTTTTTCCAAGGGACCCAGGACAAGGTGATGAGCACTTTGGCCACCTTGGTAGCCCAGTTCTCTCCAGCCACCAGGAAGTCACCAGCAAGGCCCATGAGGATCCAGCCCAAGGCGCTCAAAATGAAAAAGAGCAGGAACAAAGTGTCCTCGGGGTGAAGCACGCCAAGGAGGACCAGTTGGACGGCATTTTGGATGTTTTTGTTTGTATTTGTTTCTCTAGCCTCAATAGTTTGGGATCGTTTTGCGGCAAGTTTCTTCAAAGCGCCCACAGCAATGGATGTCGAAACATCTCACTTGGACTTCTACACCGCTCAAGTCGTCTTGGTTGTGGTCTTTGTTGGTTTTATTTGTTAGAGACCGCTCGATAGGTCATGAATTGACTGTTCAAACTAATCTCGGCGTAGTTATCTAAACCCTAGTCACCCGTTGACTGAATTACATAGAAACAGAAACACAACAAACGTATAGTTTCAAGATGTTTCAAGGACAGCATTTTCATGCATTTTCCATAAGCACTTTCAGAATGTTGGAATGTAAACACCTGCTCAATCGGCGAATAGGTTGTCCAATTCTAGTCTGAATGTGGCTCTTCTGCTCTATATAACCTTCCCAATTTTCTTAAGCTGGTTCGAACCAAAACAAACCCTTTCGTGTTCTATTACTAGAGCGTAATTATAGGGATGAATTGGGATTCACGATCCGTCAATTCACGAGTAATTTTGGATCAGACTTTGAGTTTTTCCTTATAAACCCATTGAACCCCCATATTCTTGGGTCTGCCAAGAGTCTGACAAGAGATTCTGTCTCACAAGCTTGTACAAGAGGAAGATTGCCTGAAAACGGAGACGGGCTGATTCGGAGGAGCCCTTCAAGTCTCAAAGCATCCAATTCTATTGGGGGCAAGCATTGGTCAAGTATCAATATTCAAAATCTATATGACTGGGCCTTTGGATGGTACCCTATTTTGTACACTCACTTGTGGGCACGTCTCTTCATCCACTCAATACACGTGGTATGCAAGCTATCTACACCTACTTTGTGAACTTTCTTCCTTTCCTTTGTGATTGTTCCTTTGGTAAACTTTCTACACCTCACTTTCCCTGTATATTTTCGAGGGTAATCAAGCAAATTTCAGTACTGACAGCCATTCCCAGCCAAACATGTCCAAAGGGTCTCAGGAGCATCCTCAAGCCAAGACATAAACAGGATTTCATTCACCACAGCCAACCCTTTTCACGATGAACGATCAGTGCGCCCTCGGAAGCGAAGAAGCACCCAAATGGAGTCTTTCACAGTCTTCAACATATACCCAACTAGTGGTTCAGGAGTGAACCCTCCAACCAATCCCACCCATCGGACCTCTATATGCGATATGCTATAGTGACCAACATATCTTCAGAAGCCTCCTTTCTATCTCTCTATGTCAATGTAGGACGGTGAAACAAACTGCAAGTACAGTACGTTGGCAAAATCTGGTGGACTTGCCACCCGATGGCTGAGCCAATTCTTCGTGCCATCCCGTGCCCTCTTCACCTCCCAGAAAAGCTGAGCCAATCCAAGATGCCATGAGGAACATTGACCCACCTGCAATGTAAAGGCAATCCACCGTGGTGCGGTGCGCGCCGAGGGTTGTCCTCGGATCCAAGATCACTGCTGTACCTGACAGCACCACTCCGCGGATGAGGATTCGATGGCCGGCCGAGGTTAAAATGACCGCAAACCATTCTGATCCTTCTTGGTTTTTGGAGTAGATCAAGCAAACTAATCTGTTTGCATCCTGAAGGTTTGTGTTAAAACAAGTAGGGTTAAACAAGTATCATCACAAGCAGCAGGGCACTTGCGCCCAGCTTCAGCTCACACTCCACACTCATGATTTGTGGCGTGGAACCAGGCAAGTCTTCTGAAGCTACGCGGGCAGGCAACTGCCCCAGTACGGACTGTGTCTAGAATCTCCTGTTTTGTTCTTTCGGATGGTGAGGGAATCTGCTCCATACTTGGGCTGATTTGATCTTCAAGTATGCGTGTGCTTGAATTCTCCAAGAAGTATGTCCTTCCCTTACCTTGGATTGCGATCCTGCTCCATATTCAATCCTCCCTCTTCGGAATTGTTAGATTGCTCTGGGTAGATGGTCGAGGTGAAACCTACTTGAATGCCAAATGCTTCCCGACCTGGAGCCAAGTGCGCAAGGATCGATGTTGGCTTTGCATCACTCTGTTCACCGAGAGCCTCTTCAAGAGTCACTCTCCAAATCAGTTCTGAAAAGTAAATGCATTGGTGTCCTACACAGTTCTTGGCTCTAGCCGGAAAGAACTCTCTCTCTCTCTCTCTCCACTCCAAACAAAATAAAAGGTGCAAACAATAAAAACAGCAGTTGCACATCTGGTTGCACTTCAAGACCTCAAGGGTCAGTGTGGGTTCTTTTGGTCTGAGTTCTTGAAGAGCGAAGGAGGACATCGTTTGGGTGTGTATTTGTTGCTCAGCAGTGCAAGTTACAGTAAGTGACCGAGCTGCTACATATGATATGGGTCTTCCATTTTCCACCCACATAAAAGATCAGGGCTTATCAAAGCTCGTGCACTACAAGTACCAGTTTGGGATTTCTTGCGAATAGCTGTGGCATTGGCCTGTCTGAACAGTTCTGCATGTTTGTCCGACTGGCCTCCACTACAAGTAGCTGCCCACCTATATAATTAATGTGTATAAATGTATAACTAAAAAACATAATACATATAACCGATATAACTATATCTTATAATGCAATATATAGTAATATTACATAACGACCAGTTGTCAACAAACATAAATCCCTGGTACCCTTTCGGGTCCAAAGAAGCAACACAAAAAAACTCAAAAACGAGGGAGTCTGCCAGGAGTTCCAACAGGTTGCTGCGTGGAACCCCAAAAACGATTGTGAACCCAGCAGTGGACTCCAACCTACTAGCGCTGGCCTCCAACCCACTAGGGATGGCCTCCAACCAACCCCTTTACCGTATAAAAACATCTAAAAACCACTTTGACAAAGCTTCTGTTCTAGTCTGTTTGGTGAATGGTAGTGAAAACGGCCACTGCTAGCTTTCATCCCGGTGAACCACCGACGTACCTTTTCAATCCTTTTCACTGGATTTCTCGCAGCATCGATCTGGTCACCTGCAAAGCAGTCTTGGGTCACTGGTCGTTTGGACCTCGAAAGAACCCCAAATTGGTTGGTGATTGGTGATGAGTGTGATAAGGCTTTCTAAGTTGAGTGAACTGAACTCAAAACAAAGTGCTATTAGTTCGTCATATGCATCTTCTTGTTCCACTCCCAAGGTCGCTTGCGTTCATGACGCATGTAACGGTAAACAAGACTAGTGGGACGAAAAACATATTTTGTCCAAAACAAAGAACCTTAAGAGCATTGGAAGCATTAGCTTAGGATTGACAAAACAAACACACATGTTACACTGCAGTTTCACCCACTGAAGGCCCAAAAGAACTTTGTTTGAAACGCAGAATGTGGCATCAATATGCATCAATCGTTTTTGGTCATGCTCTCGGCGTGACAACTTAAATCTATGTGTTTTGACGCAAAGAAACATCTGTGGCATCCATTCCATCTCGGCACCTCAAGGTTCGTCACACTTGGTACAGCCCATTTCGCAGTCTCTGTCCACTGCCTCTGTCCGGTTCTTAAAACATCGGTTTCAGCTTCCACTTCACATGTTTGTCGTCCCTCCCCATGTGTCCCAAGGACACGTGAGGTTCCAGTGAGTCAAGGGGTGAGTTTTCCACGGGATCCAGTGCATACGAGTCTCGTAGACCATTCAGGGTCATCCTGAGGGCTAACCTTCCATTATTGATAGGAGGCAGTGTCAAGACTATATAAGTTTATAAGTTGCAATCGGTTTAAATTTATCAGTCGTTTGCCATGCAAACGAGTTTTATTAAGTGTGATTGCGTCTCCTGGGTTTCACTCACAAACCTGAAAGTGGACTGACATTACCAGAACAAACCTGAAAAAACAAACACCCACAAAATCACCGACATACACACACATATATACACACACGCAGCCGCACTTAGAATAAAGCTCGGATGGATCCCAATCCAGAGTCATGCAGTCAATCACTAACCCTTTACATTTACTGCAATAGACCTTGGCTGAAAGAACGGGATGGCAAAAAAATACGAAAACCATATGGTCGGTTCAACCTCGGGTGAAAAAGAAATGGAGCTAATATGAGCTAATCAAAGGGTGAACCGTGTGAAGGTACGTTGACACGGGTCCCAAAGGAGGTCTTGGTTTGCTAACCCTTCTCCGGCACCCCAGTGGCCCCCTGCTGGTTTACATGACTTAGAGTTGCAAGGATCGAAAAAGTAAAGAAGGGGTGTGAAGTATCTTGGAAGCGGATACGCACACAAACACTTGAGATGAAGCCGGGTATGAGCACAGTCCTTCGAGATACAGGGAAATGCATTCAAATGCCGCAATAGCACTTTACTGCAATAGCCCATTTAGTGCAAACGCGGCATGAGACAGTTTTTGTCTTTACTTGGGTTCAAACAAGGTAAAAAAAGGCCGGTGCACGGAGATGATCAGTCTCGACTTGCCCGGAACATCTTCTATGCCACCTGTAGCGGGCCTGTGCCTGTGCCCCCTGCAAGAAAGGTGCCAAATCATGAACATCATGAAGGGTGCGGAGAAATCGACCTAGCCGTAAAGAACATGCTGGTGTTGCAGCGACACAGAGCATGGTAGCCTGAAAGTGTCCTCGCGGTCCTCGCGCTCATGTAAAGATCGCTTCATATCGATTTGCCTCCCGACATTGTTCCTGGTTTTTGTGGAGGCGCTGGAGGATGTGGATGTGCCTGAATTGTTTGGGGGTATGCATGTGCTTGTTGTCGTGCTTGAGGATGTGGAGCTCGATATTGTAGTGGATGTCAGGGTATGTGTACTCAGTGTACTCCTTCGTCTGGCGCGCGAATACACGTGATCACTTGCTTGAGCTCAGACGTCTGGCGGCCAACACCTGACCACAGGACCAATTTTCTTACAATCCCACTGTAAACAGGACAAATAGCAACCTTTATTTGTAAAACGCAATGCTTTCAAGACGTCCGAAATGCTGTAGAGGTTATCGCCACGCACATCGCACCTTGGAAGAAAATGCGCGTTTCGCACGGGGTCGTTGCGGGAGACACGTCCAGCTGTATCGCAGGCAACTGATGACTGATGAGCATTGTTGTTGTCACAGGTTTGATCCGGTGCACCCTGTATTGCATGGACACTCACACACAAGCACATACGGCTGATGATTTGCCATCATAGCACACATCAGGTTGTCATGTAAAACAACACATCAGATTGCGAGGCTTTTGAAGAGGTATCGGCGTTAGTGATTCCCCTATCATATACCTTCGAATTCCCTTAGCAAATCCAACGCGCTCCTACAAAACATGTCTTCGCACCTTTCGACTCATATGCAGAAGCGACCCTCCCTCCGGCGACGTGCCTTCACGGCAAAGGTAGCCTTCAAGATCTCCTCCTGGGACAAGTCCCATGCCTGGCGTGCGAATTGGCGTGAACGGCATGGCATGACTGACCCCCCCAAAAAAACATATGAATTATACTATATAGTGACGTGATGTGACGCATAGTTGACCGGTGGGATACAGTTTTTACATATGCTCCGACTCCCACATAATGTATTCCAGTGGGCGACTGGTTGGTAACCATTCAGAATGACCACATAGCCCATGGAATTTAAGACTTTCAAACAAATGCTGACCCACAACATGTTGAACAAGTAAGCACCGAGGAGGTATTTGACATATCGCATCTTATGGCCTTTTGCAGCCTTGTGCCAGTGCTTCTACCCAGTGTTGAGGGGATCTCAGTTTGTGTTGATCCTCTGTAGGTAGGACTTTCTTTCTCTCGTCGAAAGCCTCCCCGAGCAGGCTCCCAAAATTCTCGGACGGACCCTTCATGTCGTCGAGGTGTAGGTAGACCCTCCGGAAGAAAGCCAGTTACTTCACACTTGTTTTCTTGGGGGGGCCTTCAATAGATACGTCTTTCCCGCTAGAACGATGTTACGGAACAGACATGTTTCTCTACCTGGATCTATCTATCATGCTAGTTGGTGTCTTGCCCAGCCACAAAATCTCTTTTCTTTGGGGGGGGCAGGGAGGATCTCTCTAGAATAGAGGTCCTTCAGGACATCAATGACGAGGTGCTTGAGACTCGAACAGAATATCCATCATCTTCTCGATGTCCTGTCCGATCCTCAGCACTCTTTTGGAGCAGAGGACTCAGTTCTGATATCCCATGGAGCTCAGTCCTGGGATAGCAACTACCCTGTCCCGTGTGATGGTGGGGTCTGGTAGGGTAGTCCTGCATTGTGTGGAGGTTGTCCCCCCCTTGGGAAATCACGCGGTTGCCGCCATGGACCTTGGAGCTGCTTCTGCTTTGGGGTGATTGTTGTGCAAACTCACAAGACTATACTGGTACAGTAATGTGAAGCAATAGCAACATAGGTATTCCAAAAGTTCCAAACAAAACAGTTGGCTTCGACATCTTACGTGATACTTTTGTTTGTACCGACACGGAACACTACCAGTAGTTCAATGCCATGTAATGACATGTGACACTATTCAAATCTCTGCATGCATAGGGAATTGCTGAGACCAAGAAAACCCTGGGCACCCCATGTGCGGATGAATCTTGGAAAAGCCTTGAAGACTCCCAGTAAGCTGAAGACTCTGCTTTGTGGAAAAACATACTTGTTCCGTTTTGGACGAATCGCTTCATCAGCCTTCACGACCGTCGTTCGGTTTCTGCGGAACCGGAACGCCGGCCGGAACGTCGGCCCCCCCCTTCACCGGATTCCAACGGGGTCGGACAGGATCCGGAGGATGATCAGTGCCGAGTTGTAGTGCGAATCTGGAAATCTGGGTTCCGCTAAGATAGGATCCACCAGACCGGGCGTTTCTTCCAACTTTTGTGGGCCAGAAGAAGGCGCCATGATCCGCAGCCTGGATCCTCAGCCATCTCTGTTCGGTGCTTTGTCTTGGGGGGATAGAACTTGAGTGTCCATTTCCGATCTTCTGAGAAACTGCTTGGGTTGATAGGGATAAGAAAACTTTGGAAAACTAGCCTCCCTGAAACAATCATGGAAGAGGAATACAGCCTGTTCCAGAGGCAAACAATCTTGCCTTGCAAGGGGCGATGTTCCACGAGGGTAAATGAAGAACACATACACCACAAAGCTTGCCTGGCACCTCTGAGAGCTCTGGCAGTTTGGATGCCTTCCGCAGCTGGCGCCCATCCGGCCAAGCAGCAGTCGCTTCTCCAAGAGCGTGAAGATGGCGACAGCCAGCTTGACAAAGACCTCCACCAGTCGAACCAGGAAGGTTGAAGGTTTGACCTCCCTTGGCAGTACTGGTGGTGAGTGCCCGTACCCACTGGTTGGCTGACAGAGATATTGATGTTTGGGATGTTTTTTCACAACACTCGCGGATGTTGATGGGGGAAGAGAAGGATGTTGAGAACTGCTTGGCGAAAAAACATAATGCATTGCTGATTTCTCCGAGTCAAGACTCCAATCACAGCGAAGTTGCCAATATCTCCCTGCTTATTGAGCTTTCGCGCCTTCGAACTGGAAGCAGGTGGTGGCCGCCGGAATTGTCCCGTCGACCCTTTTTCCGGCTCCGAATCCAAAACCCGCCACGCAAATTGCGCAGTGAGCATCTCATCAAGTATCAAAGAACATCTTCATTCATCTTAACTCATTTTTGCCTGTTCTCAAAAAGTAGTGCCCCATGCACAGCAAGGCCCCAGGTGGCTCGAGTCAAGCAACGGCGGCGGAGTTTCAGGGACCGAATTCAGCCGGGGCACCGATCACTCTGCACCCGTTTTTATTTAGATCGAAGGAATCTCATTTTATGAGTCATAAGGAAATCAAGCGCGCTCTCCACTAACACCCACAGCCCCTGTGCCAGAATCAGTCTGCCTTGAAAGACCTCTCGAAAATGAAGTGATCCTTGGTCCAGATCGGTGCAGCTAGCCGGATCCCAAACCATCACCATCCAGCTGGCAGGCCACTTTCACTTTCACTTACTTTTTTGCGAAGATCGGTGCAGGCTTGAAAGGGTCATGGTATTCTTTCTTTGCAGTAAGGAGTGGAGACTGATACAAAGTCCACATTGGTGTTGTGGGATATATGATACTTGAGAGGAGGGAGACACGAAAGGTAGGACAGCGGGAAGAGAAGAGAACGCGAGAGGCAGGAACAAAAATGCAATGTTCGACATGGTGATTTATCCCCTCGGAGGCGACCTTTCGTAAATATAATTTCATACGCACTCTCTAAATGTTCAAACATATGCTCTCGAAATGTTCAAAAGATTCTTAGGAAAACAACCTTGCCCCATGGCTCAGATCATCGGTGAGCATTAAATCGGAGCATCATAGGATTTGAATTATCCTGAAACCATAAGAGGCTCACGAAGACGTTCCCAGGAGAGAATTGACGTGCTTCGCAAAACAAACTCTAGGTATGTATCCCCTCGGGGAACACCTTTCGTGATTAGAATTTCATATGCACTCTTTCTGAATGTTCAAGAGGGTTTCAACTATTCTGAAATCATGAGAAGCTCACGAAGACGTTCTCCAGGAGAGAATTGAATTTAGTGGGGGGGAGGGGGGGGTCTGTATTGAAAAAATCAATTCCAAGGGGGCGGGGGGGGGGGTTGTATTGAAAAATCATTTGGAGGGGGGGGGTTTGAATTGAATGATCAATTATTAGACCCGGACGCGCCAACACTTGCTTCGCAAGACAAACTCAAGGTATCCCCTAAAGGGCTACCTTTCGTGATATGAATATCCAACTGGATTGCAGGTGGCTGGGGGTATCTACAGCTACTTTGGAAGGGTAAAACACATATGATGTCCATTAATGTCGATACTTGATAACAACCTCAAACAGTGACCAGCCTTTCTTGTCAAATGGGCCGCGGTCTGCCACTCCCCAGAAAGCAATGTGACGTTCCCATGTATGACTTTGAAGGGTAAATGGCCTTTCAGTAACTAGCTAGCTTGTGGCATGTCCGTTCTCATGTTTTTCCAACTCTGAAATCCGACCACGTGGTACCATCATGTGACCATGTGTGTCTATAGTTGAAGATGTTGTCTTAGAGTGTGACCTGATGCATCATGCGGCAAGTTTTGAAACACATATCTTACTCAACATCTGCAATGTCACGAATTATGTCGTGTCACTTAGCTCTGCATAGTGCTTCACGGGGATTTGTCTTGTCTGTTGTTAATCGTAGGTGCTCCTACTTATTAATACGTCAGCTGCTTAGAGGCATCATTTGCTTGATCTCGTTGAGCGTTCCAAGTTTAGCCATTCTACGTCATGGCTATGGCTGAACAAAATTGGACATCATGCTATGCCATCAACACCCCAGAGTAAAACCAAGCTTGGCTCTTTTCACCTGTGGTCACTTTTGCTCCCTGGATGTTTTTGTTATTTGAGCCAAATCCAAGTTCCTGTTAAAACGAAAACAACCGCATTGCAAATTGTTCAAAAGCCAAGTGGCCATGATCCGAAGCTGTGTCTCTGCCTTCAAGCAACTCTGAAAAAGACCTGACGGTCAGGACGGGCTAGGTCGACCGATCTAGCACCGATTCCCAACATGAAAAAAATAACATCCTGTCTCCCTCAAAAAAACCTGGGAGACAAACTCTCTGTTGTACATTCCGAAGCAAACTCGTGTTGGTGTCTCTAGCTGCCGCGTCAGCTACATCATCCAAAGAAATTGCATCGTGGGGCACTCTCTTCATGTCCAGGGAGGTGTCCATCAAAATCAGGCTTTCTCGGAATGAGGGGACCCCTTTCTTGAGGGGGCGCGCGCACACAAATAACATCATATTATATATATAATTTGTAAAATTGTGGTTGATTCCGAGTTGTTTCAATGCAATGAGTTTTCCTAAGCAACTCAACTTTCTCTGGCCTGGTCTTCCAAGAGTGTGTGTGAAGATAGCCAAGGACAACTTCAATAACCGGACTCACTCTCTCTCCCTCTCTCCCCCTCTCTCTCTCCCTCCCTGTGCTCCCTCAAACACTTTTCCTTAAGAAAACAATCTAATTGGTCACGCGCGGCTGTCACTGACCCTCCAAATGTTCACTTCACTTCGGTACATAGAAAACAACTAAGCAGCAGCAGCTTCAGAAGACGCCGAACACACACGTCTCCGCACCGCGCCCCACCTTGAAGCCATGCGCAGAAGAAGAGCTCCGGTGCCAGACCTTCGCCCATGAAGTGGCGAAACCTCCGATGGCGCACGGCGCGTGTTTCCGATGGCGTTCCGAGGCGAGACCGAGCAGGGCCGGGTGTCCAAGCGGATGGATGTTGATGGATATATGGATACAGGGGGATGGATGGATGGGAAATTGGCTGTTGGTAGTCTCAAGCATCAAGTCTAGTGAGTGGTGAGTCATACTATCGTTGATCGTTCTGACGAGAATGAAAGCACTTATGTCTTTAACCGCACAAATGTTGATTGATAATTGATCATCAGTGCTGGCATGACAATTATCCGACCTCTAGCTGCTTCACGACGGCACTGCCTGCGTAGGAACCCCTTTCTCGACGTCTGCAAGGCAGTGGGCAGTTCCATCATAATCCTCTTGATGTACTATTTCCAAGCCTAGAACAAGTAATTACAGCATCTGCCTGCTTTGTTTCCCTTGCCGTATGCCACAAAATTAAGGCCCTCTTGGCTCAAATCCCAGAGGCCTTTCCGGCCCAAGAAGGACATCACCACGTTTGAACCCCGCAGGCCCCGCAGGAATAGGGAGACCTCTCAGTTCGACCGACCACAACTCGATTGGGCCAGGGATTTTCTTAAAATACCAAGCCATATGCGCCATATGTCAAGCATTCCTTTCTTCGCAGCAGCTTGGCTGCGAAGAAAACCCGCTGCCGTCCAAGGTCAGGGGCCCAATCAAGCGTGAAACGAGTTCCAACCCTTTGGGTCTCAAATTGAACATCTCCTTGACGTACAGTACAGTTGGCTCAAACTATATAAATGAGGCACAACCCAGGTTCTTCTAGAATCTGAAGTCACTGAAGCTCTCTGCTGTTGGCAGGCAGCTTTCACACTGAGAAAAGAAGCACCAGCATGCGCCAGCAATGCTAACGAAAACACAAATCACCACCCCAAAAAGACCAAAAGAAAGATCTTTCCCTAGGGATCCAAGTACCTTCTCAGAAGGTGATTGGAGACGCTATGAGACACTGTAATGTCGGTTTGGAACTTGGATCCCTAGGGTTTATAACCGGGTTGACTCTCCACATGTGTTCCTTGGTGTCCATCGTAGCGGGTTTCCTCCGCACGTTTTTCACTGTTTTTCTGGGTCCGGCGGACAGATTGGGCAGTTGCGCGGCAATGATCACCTCACCGTTGCGGTGCACGGTCCGAGTGGCGGTGCACGGCCCCGGCGGGGGCCGGACCCGGTTTTCCTCTGGAGGGGTTGGGAAGCTCAAATCACGGTTTTCCTCGGGACCGGTGGGTCTGCTTGGAGTGTTTGGCTGGCTACGGTGACCATTGAAATGATACGAGCTCGGGGACTACATTGAGTTTGGGAGAGCCGACTACAATTTGTTGGTTCACTTTAATTTAGAATCACCACGAATAGTCAAGGAAAGTCTCATGCAGCTGCTTTATTTAGACTAAATCAAGTAATTATATGACACACCACTGGTGATTGAGAAGTCTCATCTTTTCACTGAATCGCCAAGTCGCCTAACCTGGGTCGGTTCCCAACGAATGAAGCATGCACATTCTTGCATGGAAGGTTCATTTTGCTTGGAAGAGGAATCTTATCGTCTGCGCATTGGGCGAGAGAATCACAGTGACGCGTCTCCGCATAGCAGCTGTTTTTAAAGTCCAAGAGACATTCCTAGTGGTTTATGTATATTTTTTAAATATCTATATTTGTATATATGTATACTAATCATTACTAATAGCTAACACACTATTTACCGTTATTTCACTGTGTTTGATAGTCCGAGGAGTCCGAAGCACCAAAAAGAGGGAAAACCATACAACTGGAAAATGATGATCTGCAGAAAGTGGATCCATCCAGGTTTGCATCGACGGCTTTTAGGCTCTTTCAACGAAGTGAGTGTGGGCCATAGGATGGAAGGATCCAAAACCACCATTGATGTTTCTTTAAATGTGATGAAGCGAACATGTGATTAGTTAATGCAATGGACAGGGCATGAACAGAAATTGAAAGGATTGAAAGGAACTTGAAGGAACATGAATTTAATGGATCTTAAACTATATTATACTATACGTATATACTATATGATACATGCAGTGTCTGGGATTCTATTTCCTCTGAACATGATCTGCTGAGATTGCTGAGTCGCGAATGAAATGTGTGGGGGTAATCTGGATTTTCCCATGTACAAGTGGGTGGTCGATTTCTTTGACACAACATGTGGATTTGCGTTTCACCACAGGTTTCTTTTCAGAATGCTGTTTTCAATAACACCTCGCTATTTGCAGCATGTTCTGTACCTCACAAATATGTTGCGCGTCATGATGATGCAGCAATGATCACGATGCTCTGTTGAACAAAGTGCGTGGTAATGTGCACAAGTGTGCGGACATGCGCTGACCTAAATATCCTAAATGACCAATGTCTAAAAAAAGAGGCAAGCAGACGAAAAAAGGGAAAGAGAAAGACATAAAGCGGATCATCTGACCGGCTTTTCAGTGGGAGCAGCTGGGGGAATCAGCAATTGCATGAGCCAGTGGCCACAGCTTTTTGACAACGCAAGCGTTCAAACCCCCACCATTGAAAGAACACCTTCGCAAAAATACCGATAAACCCCCCTACTAGTATGAAAACAGGGTTATTCCGTAGTTGGAGTCCCAGCATCTCAAGCTTGCCTACAAATACACTCGACCGGAGTGCGGGTCAGCTCGCTCAACTTCACCAGTCCCTGCCTGGAAGTAGCGACATTGCATGACCAACCAAGGCCTCGCTGGACACGTCTCGCTGTGAGAAACTCGAGCACTGCGAGACGCGAGTCCCGGAAAAGCTTAAAAAACAACCGCTGTTTCGAAACAGGAGTTGCAATCATTGGGACTCAGACGACATAAATGGGGTCACAAAGCTGATGCGGTGCATCTGTTTAATATGACATTGCATTTGTCTGACGGCTTCCTTTTTGAAAAGGAATAAGGAAAGCTGGATCTCCCACCCAGCCACTCCTCTCTCTGGATGTTTCCAACATTCCCCAACATCTGCAGCAACATCAACAAAGGACACAACACCACTGGTGACGCTGGTGTCGACATGTCGTCATGAGCATCCGAAGCATTAACACATGTCACAGTCCAGCTCAGTCCAGCTCAGTCTCTGATCATCTCTTCGATGTCTCGAAGTCTCAAGCGGCACTGAATGGTCAGCGCAAGCGCCGCAAGCGCCTTGCGAAACGACACCTTCCCAAGAAGCCTCGCGAAGACTCCGAAGACCACCGGCCTGACCTCTGAACACCGAGCACCCCCCTGTGCTTCCCTCTAACATCCAACATCCAACATCCAATCCAACATCCATTCATCCATCCATCCATCCATCCATCCAACATGGCTCTTTTAGAAATCCATCCCGGCCATCTTCCATCCTAAGGCTCCGGCAGGGCAGCGTCAGACAGGAGCCACAGCCTGGCTGTCGAAGTGTGAGCATTCGAACATTCTGGGAGGTTCTGAGGAACGGGGCAAGCGAACGGAACGGGGCTCTCCAATGATGTCCTTTGGGGAATACCAAGTGCATGGTTGAATACCTAGGGCCAACTCTCCCCTCCATCAATCAACCAACTCACCGTATATAAAAGGCCATCAGTGGCGGCTCTTCTGTCAGGTGGTGGCTTTTTCAGTGGTTGGAGGTGGCTCCCGCCTTTTCCCTTGGGCTTCTCTTGGAAAACAAGAACGGGTCAAAGGATCTGTCTTGCCTTGGCGTGGGCCTACTCACAACAAACACAAGGGGGCTGAGTAGAAGGGTCTTCTGATAGTCCAGTGCCTCAGAACCATCATACTTGCTCTTCACATTGACGTGCTGAAGTTGGAATTGCCCGTGGCCTATATTCAGAGATATGAACATCTAGTACCAGGCAAAGGTAAAATTCACCATCCAATCTGCCAGTTTGGGTGACCAGTGACGTTCTCTGGACGAAGAAGGGCATCCATCTGTCGCACGTCTCCAAGTTCTGGTCTGAATTCGGTCCGAAGTCAACACAGAAATTGTTTGTATGAAGGCAAACTGCATGTGAAAATGTGGTGTGATTTTGGCTGTATGATTCATGATGTTGTCTATGTTCAGCTTGAAAGCTTGGATCAACTTTGACCTGATTCGTTCCTTCAGATGAGAGGTCAACCCTGGTTGGAAGTGCACGGCCGGGCGGCCAACCAATCTAGGGCTTCTCTGGGCTGCTAGCAAAGCGGGGGCAAAAGCCCAAAACAAGATGAAGTGATGGAGGCCACGAGCGCGAATGAACACACGTGTGCAAGCACAAACGGCCAAATCTTGCTGAATTATATTACTGTGCTTACTACTGCTTACTTGACACTCTTCCAAAACACTCTTGAAGGACATTCTGGGTGTTGTGGCACTCGTGCTTGACACTCCTGTGGGAGACTTTTGCGCGACTTGGGACACTCTTGTGTGCCGGGCACTCTTGCAGGACACTCTTGCGGGACACGCTTGTAGGACACAATTTGCGCAACACTTGCCTCACACTCTTTTGCGACGGATCTTGCACTGTTGTGGGGCACTCTGATCTCTTGTCTTCGGACGCTCTTGTCGGACACTCTTGCGAGACACTCTTGTGGGACACTCTTGCTTGACACTCTTGCGAGACATTTTGGTTTGACACTCTTGCGGGGCAGTCTTGTAGGACAGTCTTGTGGGACAATCTTATGAAAAGCAACGTCACGCAAAGATACCCGAGAACTCCAGAGAATTATATACCCAAACCCCCAAAGATACCCGAGAACTCACTGAAGGTCGAGGTGATGGGTTTTGGTCCATGTTTTGGAGATCTTTACATACGCAACAAGCACTGAACGTCCGTACTCGACCCGACACCGATGGCTCGAAGCCCCGCCTTTGGCAATGCCATGGCTCTTGCAACAAGCGATCCACGATGAGTGCTGCAGCTGAGTCCCTGGATGGCGCGATGGCGATGGCGCCGATCACAATCACGGGTTGAAGGATACCAATCCGGCGACCAATCCGGCGGCCGGGTCGTGGACTCTGGAACATCCTTTAGACTTCACCACACTGTGGGCAAAGCTGTATGGGGATTTGCTGTCCAGGAACCAGGAACGTCCCCAGAAGGGGATCTAGCCAGTTACTTTCGGGAAAATAGAATCACCGAATCCGCAACACCGGTGTGGGTATGTTGTCTAAGAAGTCCGTCATGTATCATTTTGGTAGAAGGAATCATAGACTGGATTGGATTAGATTAGATGTAGGAAGCCTACCCGAGCAAGTGGCCCACGATGGGAGCCAGCTACAGCCGGGGCAGTCCAGAATGCGAGTCCGACTGCACGTACAAATAGAGTTTCAGCTACATCAAATTCATATCTGCTCGCAAAAGCACTTGCAACCTATGTCTTACAGCAAGTCTTCTTCTGGGCCCCGCCTGGGTTCACTGCCCAAGGCATCCAAGAGCGCAAGCATAGAGGCACTGCTCACCTACATGACGTGTCGAAATAACAGGAAGCAGCCCTTGATTTGTGTTTTTCTATGAAAAGACTTGAAAAGTAGCTCTTCAAAAGAACGTTTTCAAAAACCAACAAGGGGGTTCCACATGCATGATTGCTGTATCTTCTTATGATATGCAATCTCCGAACTTGCAAAAGTTTTCAAACCACGGCTCGATCACTGCTAGGAAATTATCGACATGCAGGCAGGCAGCAAACTTTCAAATCTAATGTTTCTTTCCATCACAGGAGGTCAGATACAGAGCTTCCTGCAAATCTTAAACTTTCACTGGAAGCTGAGCAGCACCCCTCTCCTCTTCAAGGCAAAACGCCGATCTACAAATTTAATTTGTCGTCCTGGTATTTCATGACATGTTCCAGAGCATCTTCCATATCCAAAAACCATCTTCTATCTATCAAACTGAGGATCAATCCCCACCAACCCCCCGGTCCCCGTGCCCGCCACCCTCCACGCCACCGGCGTGCCGCCTCGAGGCCTGGGACTGTGCCGCCCAAGCCGCTGCAAAGACGGGAGAGGCTCAAGAGGTCGCTCCTGTCGGAAGGATCCGAGCGGAACGTTACGATCCGATGGGGATGAGGTATACCGGTATACCGTCCCGTCGGAAGCGAAAACACATTTCGAGTGAATGGATCTTGGACAGGAACATGCGATGCGCTGCTCGTACGCAATGAGGGTTTTAGAGTGGACCAAAGAAAGACTGGATGGGTGTAAAAGTCGATCTCAAAAGCTATGACGTTCCCAGCTATATGCATCATAGAAAGTGAATCACAAGATGAAACCGCAAGGAAACATCCCCCCACCAAATAGCAAAGTAAGCCTTGTGTTGGGTTTATTAATCCGGTGTCTAGAACAGTAACATTAAATTATACAAGGTGCGTTTCCTTTCAACAAACAAATCCCATATCGAACAGTTCTCACGCTTCACAACCTTTGACGATAAAATAACAACTGTCATCGAACGCGTTTTCTTCCTCAGTCCCCATCGACGATTCCCAGCGAAGCCTGAGAATTAACCAAGTCGCCGAGTTTTTCGCCAAGTCTCAGTCGATAGGATGTGGGCTTGAGAGGTGAATTCTGTGTAGAACAACTCAATTATAATTGGGTCCTCATAGCCTGTCTTCGGCAGATCAGCGTTGCATGAAGCCGATGCACGTAGATGGCGTCTATAGATGCGAGTAGATTTGTGCCAACCTTGCTGTGGTGGTGATCATAGGAATGCCTTCTTCGTGATCCCACATTTCTCCTGAGAGATCCCGAGAGCCGACTTGTTCGTTCACCGGTGCTCTTGGACGATGCGTACAGCAATCTGGAATCGAACTCTCTTGGTCCTTCGTGGCTGCCACAGTACACAGACCTCCTTGGTGTGATACCTTGATGAGTGAAGTTGATCTTCTCCATCGCCCGTCGATGCTTGTCACTTCATTCAAGATGCAGTCATAGCTCGTCACGACGCCCCAGTGTATCCTCGATCAAACGCCGGGCCGTCCGGTTGAAAAGCGGCCTAAGCCATGCTAAGCTGCGCTGGCTGCTGCGTAGTCTAGCTCTGTTCAACCAAATGCTCCACTGGTATCGCTGGGAAGATCCGCTGCCTGACTTGACCTGGAAACCGTTCCCATGCCATGCCAGGACTCAGAGTCACTCCAACTCTTTGGATTTCCTTTTCTTTTGGCCCGCTCCGACTCATATAAATACGTACAAGTAGGCGCCTACTTGATTCAGCAAGGGAGGAGTAAGCTACTAGCAATAGGAAGCTCCTAGCTAGGACGCAGGATAGCTCACGCACTAATGACTTGGTTCCGAGACTTTTAGGGAAACTTGACTTTCTGAATCATAAGAGATTGCTCTTGTTGAATCACATGCTTTTTGCAAAGCACAACCGACCTGCCCTGTTGAGCAAAGTTCACCAATCATCCACCCGCTTGGGCATCTGCCGGTTGGTAACAAACCACCCCATCAACTCTGCCCAGCTTGAAGGCCTCAAGGTAGAAGTAAGATTCCTTTGGTCTTTGGATGTCTTTGGTGGTGTGTGTTCTCCCCGGAGAACCTGTGCATGTTTTCATCTGGTTAAAAAATAAAAAGCAAAAAGGATGCAAAGTTTAGCATGGTGTATGTAGGAAAGGTAGGAGTGTGTCAGTTTTGTCTTGACAGATCCCACATAATCCCTGCAGCCCACGACCCCCGCGGCTTGCCATCCTAACAGCGGCTCCCAGCAAGATCTCCTGCCATGGTTAAGGCCAAAAAGGGGGGAGGGCATTCGGTTTCGAAAATATGCACCTGTGTAAAGGGATGAAGAGAATCTAATTTCTACCAAGGCTCGAATCAAACAGGTGATTCTTCAAGTCGGCTGTTCAAGACTGAACACGGATATGAACGTCCGGACTTCTTTAAATAAACGTTTGGAATTAGGGTTGTTTTTCGTTTCCGGCTCCCATGATCTAGCCCTCTGAGAACCTTCGAACGGAGGTTCAAGAATTATGAGGATGGCCTAATTCAGGCCGCACTGTGCTGTTTAGAATGCGTTTAGAATTTCATAGAATTTCCACATGGCTGAATTCAGCCAGTTCAGCACTGTGTTGGATCCCCGGCGCCTCCGGGGTCTCCGAACGCTTGGTCTCCGAACGCTTCGTTCGGGCCTCGCTCCGACGATCTGACGGGATCAAACGGGATCAGTTAGGTGTATTTGGGATCCCCCGGTGTGATGAAGCCACCAAAGAACTACTGTACAACCCGTAGTGTTTGATGAATCAACCCGGTGTGATGAAGCCACGATTCGCCACTGAACAACTCCCTAGTGAAGTGAACTGTAGTGATGTCCGTGGGGGGAGGTACAGGTACATCCCACTGCAAAGGCTGGTTCAAGAAAATCACCTGGACCTCGTCCTTGGCAATCCTTTTCAAAAAGAATGAGTTCTTGAGACTGGTTTCGACCTGTTTTCCACAGAGCTGGAGAGTCTCAAACTTCCTTCAAAGCATCCAGTAAGAGACGCAGAACCTCAGGGTTGCCCTTCTTCGCTTCCACCTCCAAAGCCAGTTCCTGATATGTTGCCTTCTCATGGTCAGCTCGCTGCTCAAGAAGGAGCTGCACAAGTGCTGGGTGGCCACCATGAGCTGCGATCTCGAGAGCTGTCCCGTCTTTACAGACCTTCTGTCGGTCAGCTTTAGCCAGAAGTAAGAGTTGCACCACTTGTCCATGACCCACAGAAGCTGCCCAATGCAACGCCGTGGCCCCTTCTCTGTCAACCTGATCCTTGTCAGCTCCAGCCTGAAGCAAACACGCCACCACATCAGCACGGTCATGCTGCGCAGCCACATGTAAAGCTGTGGCCTCGACCCCGCTCTTCCGGACCTCGAGGTTGACACGAGCCTCGAGCAAGATCTGCACGATCTCCAGGCGCCCAGTTTGAACAGCGAGATGCAACGGAGTGTCTCCAGTCTCAGTGACCCCATCTTTGTCCGCTCCGGCCTCCAGCAAGAGCTCTACAACTTCTCGGTGTCCATTTCGAGCTGCCCGGTGCAAAGGGGTCTCTTGATGTTCTGTGACCTTGTGCGTGTCGGCCTTCGCCATGAGCAAGAGACGTGTGGCAACTGGGTATCCGGTACGAGCTGCCAAATGTAAAGCCGTACAACCAAAATGATCTTCCTGGTCCGTTGTTGCGCGAGCTTCAATCAGCAAACTGACACAATGCCACTGCCCATGAAGAGCCGCAGCATGCAACGCTGCCCGTCCGGACTCATCGGTGATGTCTGGAGCAAGGGGCTTTGAAAGTAGCGCTTCAACTTCCTCTTGGGCTCAGGAGTGAATATATATAAATAGACTCAAACTCCTTCGAACGACCCATGTTACACCAGTCACCGCGTTACCACCCCAAGGTTTTTTGAAACATTCCGTATCATAGAGTCCCTGGAAAGGGAGATTCACCAAAAGTGACAAAACATCAACTCCTCTATCTTGTTCTTGGCACTGGCAGAAATGAGCTTCTCACCTGCGAAAGCATGAAACAACAAGATCCAACACGGGAGCCAAAAGCCGCCCAAAGGCAGCTGCACCATGGATCTGGGGTCATTGATGGGAGGTGAAAGTCTTGATATTCCCCCAAGAATCCGGCTTCAAATGGAAGGGGTTAGGGAGGGAGGGTCGAGTCCGACCCCTGCCATGGAGGGTCCGTGACTTGCCCCAGTGACCCCTCCACAGGTTCAGGTTGATCCATTGGGCGTTTTGGCCTTCTCCTTCTTCGGGTGGCACAAAGTCCAGCAGTACCACGTGCACCGTGGAAGGCGGCACAGCCTCATCATCCAACTGGGTGCCTTCACTGAGCCATCCTGGATGCAGTGCTGACTAAATTTGTGGGATAAGCTGCTTTTCACAAGTGGATCTGGGCAACACAGCAACCACCAGCATCCATCAGTGTAGACCGACCTGATCCTAGAGTCACTCCTAGAGTCTACAGCCTTTACATGCCCATTTCCAAGCAGCTATTGAATGAGTGGGAACATGAAGACAAGCATCTCTGTCGGAATCTGGAGGCTCCGATGTCCTTGGCCAGCTGGGTCTTGAGTGAGCGCACCGATTGATTTTCCACCTTCTCAGGCTCCACAATGAGGAGCGGTTCCCCGGACACCGCGGAGAGAGCGTGAAACATGATGAAACATGCGTGGTTGCCTCAGCAGAATCAAAACACCCAGTGAGACATGCCGGTTTGGCTTCAGAGTCATGCAAGAAGTGTTCAAAAAATGCGACATAATCAGAACTCTCACGCCGTCTCACGCCTGCTGTGCCTGCTCTGAACACATTTCTGCAAACATCTTGCTTTGAGCATTAAGGAGATGCGCGGGCAGCACTTGGACTTCCCTCTACTTGGTGACAAACCCCACTTCCTGCCCCCTCAACATGGCTTCTCGGAAAACACGGTCTTGGATAGTGTGGGGTTCCAAATCTTGTCATTGACCCATTGCCATCCCATGGGTCCCATGCCCACTCATGGTAGAAGGAGGTCAGGGTAGATGGATCTTACATATCTAAAGTCTAAAGGCTGGCATGCCACTTGTCGCCTGCGCATACCAGTCGACTATGCTATTGTTCGATTGGTATCTGAGTGCCCGTGCGGCCGCGGCAGCCATGAGTGCCTGGCAGCAAGACCCAAATGATTCATGATGATTCCAAGACGCGCTACCCCCTCAGGCTCCTCCACCTCTTCTGCTGTCCACAACTCTTAACACCTACCACCACGCGAAACTTTTATGATGTACAAAGTTGTGAGGCTCATTCTCAGTCATCTAAGAGCCATCTACCTCAGGGCATAGGTGGCCCAGGCCCAGAGGTCAAGTCGCCCAGGCCCAGAGGTACAACCGCACCCATTGCCATAGAGATGATCAAGCTTTTGCTGGAGGACACGCACTTCCTGCACAAGGCATGGGAGACTGGCCAAGAGAAGAGGATGTAAGCATGAAAAAGAGAACGCAAGGCTTGCTCCACGACAAGGAAGAAGGCAGTCATGATTGGCAAAGTGGAAGAGCCGACCGGTGCTGCAAGCTGCGGTCGACGCACACCACGTACAGTCAGTTGGTGACTCGTGAGTAGCAGGAGACACGTAGCTTGGCACGGGATGGGAAGCCGTTCCAAGGAGGGGGAGCTGCAAGAGAACAGATCCAAAGACAAGGAAGCAGCGTCCTTGTATGCAATTGTAAGATCTCATTCTTCGAGAGAAACCACATCACATGGTGTGCAAAGAGTGCAGAGCCATGCAGAGCCTACATGCTGCGAAAAAGGGGTTCAAGAGTCTACAAGTTCACAATCTTGGCAAGGAGTTGTCATGTGGGCTTTCGAGGGCAAAAAGCCTCTGACGTCAGAGGTGCCGCTGGCGCTTGCAATTCCTCAGGCGTCTCCGCAGTGGAAGGCGTCTCAGCAGTGGAAGACCTACACGATGTGAGAAAAGGGCAATCGTTAACGAGAGAAAAGCCGCACAAACCGCTGCCGAGGCAGACTTCCGGGCACCAAAAGGAGTCGAAGCAGACTTCTGGATAGCCAAAAGGCTTTCGCGGGAAAAAGTCGTCTACCTCAACGAACTAGTCTAACAACTACAGCTGTACCCAGGAAAACCATTGCTGTTTGGGAGACCCAGCATCAGTCACCCGTCCTGCACTGCGCTCGTATGGCAGCTGGCAAAATCCCAAACCAAAAAGCGGTGCCACTGGGGCAGCCAGCAGTGCCAATGAATATCGAGCTTTCCAGCTTCCGCGTGGAGTGGACGCAGAGTAGATGGCACAAACCCCATCATGCTCCCGATGGGTAGCTGAGGCAGTTCATCGAAGCACAAAAACAGCACGGGTTTTGGGCCATCTATTCTCCACCTTTGGACCTCGTATAGAAGTGCATGGTAGGCGCATTGCTGCATTGTACAATTTCTTCCGTCAACATCGAATCCGAATCGACTCTATTCTATAGATGATGTGCAGGGTCCGGCATCCAGAGATATCCAAAGTGGTAGTGGTCACTCAAAGAGAACATCTCCCACACAAAGAGAACATGAGTTCCGACTCGGATGTACCCGAAACAAACACTATGGAAAGTCAAACTGGCTCACTAGTACCCGAAACACACACTGACAGCTTATGCAAAGAACCTCCTCGCGCATAGAGGAACATAGACTTTCCCTGGAGTTGCGCTAGTCATGATGCTGCTCTGCGACACGATTATGATGTTATATAAGGCTGGAAAGGTATTTTCATAACACCTTCAATCAAGCCAAAGGCACTGCAGCATGTTTGCTGTCATCCTAGCCAGAGAACGGAGCGGCCAGGTCTCGAAATGGAAGATCAAAGGGGCTTGTTGGTGGTCTCTGTCGTGTTGCCAAAGAATAGCATATATAATACTACTGTTACCATATAACACTCTTTTGGAGGATTTGGAAGCAAACATGCTAGTAAAGTTGCGGCACCGTGGCCATATCCAACATTCCCAACAACTGTGCAGCACTCTCACAGTTTAATTTATTTGCTTTTCAAGTTTCCCTTGACATTCACCTGCCACAGAGCTGTTCAAGGGCCAGCACCACGGGTTAACAGGTCACCCGACTAATCTTTGACAAATTGCCATGCTGAAAAAGGCCGATCGACACGAAGCAAGGAAGATGCCATCCATAGTGCCAAAATCAAACGGCTGAGGACACCTTAAAGAACAAGTCGTGTTCTAAACGGGCAGCTTAAAAAAGAAACACACACACACACAAATGAGCAGCAAAATTCAACAACAACAACAACAACAACAACAACAACAACATGATCAACATGAAAGCCAAGTCTTGGTTTACCACCATCCGTGTGCTTTCTCCCATGACCGAAGGACTCCTCTCCCAAGCACCACTGCCAAAAGCCGATGCCTGACAGGATGGTCAGGCCATGCATTGAAGCGGCGGTGTTGGAGCGACCGGGAGGAGGCCAGGAGAACCCAAAGGAAGACGAACATGGTAGAACAGTTTGGACCAAAAAAACACGAGGTCATTGTCTGTGTCATATTCACTGGCGGGGCCATACTTCTAGTGGCCAGGCAACTTCTTTTTAGGACGACATCTAGAATGTCACCTGACATACAGGCCACGAACCCAGTAAATCAGGCTGGCAAACCCAAGTCGCCCAAGGGTTTGATCCGTCAATCTCTTATTCACCAGGCGATTGACTATATCTCTGAACCCCCGAGCCGTTTCCGTGGAAAATAGAGGTTCTACATACATAACAATTTTGTCCGCCTGTTGGATTTGAATGGGGTGTCCCCAATCCCAAAAAAGCTTGGGCAAGTTAGGCAAGTTATATATCCACTCACTGAGCGGAGTGGGATCTGAGCACCATGATTTCGATGGAGGTTCCTGGTGTCTTCTTTTTCCTTCTATACACATCCCCTCTCCTTTTAGGCTCCCCCACGTTGTCGTGCCGAGAGGCTGCGTCCATGTCTTAGGACCTGCCGGATTGGAGGTCCAAGGCGTCCACCCGAGCTGCTCGGAGCGTCAGCCGTCTGGGTCCGGCCCACTGCAGACCCGGTCCCGCCGGCGTCTAAGCGAACCCCGACTGGGAGGACACCTCGTGATCAAGTCACACAGATTCAGTGTGCTAGGCGAGTCTGAAAACCCCCTGAAAACAAAAAAACTGAACAGACATTGAAAGACCGTCGTGGGTCCCAAAGACGCCAGAAACGCCACAAACTCCCGGGTTGAATCATGACGACATAATTATACATAATTATGACGACCATGTCTTTGCCAACAATCCATGTATGCCAATGTATGCCGTATACGTGATTGAGTCATCCGGAGTCATATTCATGAGTCAACTCTTCCATGAAATTTTCGGGGTCTGGACTTACCACGCCCTCCAAACCCTACCAATCCCCATCGCTCACGTCGGCATCCCGACCCAACTCCAAAGCTGACGTGGCGAGCGTTGCGCCTGGGGCGAGCGGCATCGGGGCATGGCGATCTTTGACTTTCCACCATGATCCTAAGCTAGCATCCATGGAATCAGGAGATCGACCCAATTCTTGCCTGGGAAAAGAAAAATGAGACCCCAAATAGGTGAATCCCAAACAGACTCATCTTTCGGAAACCAACAGGTGCTCCCCCGGAATCCAATCGCACCGTTGCGATCCGTTGCGGTAGTCCTGTTATGTCCTGCAGTTCAATCAACGAGAGACCAAAGACCGAGGTGAGGAGAACATAGGCCGACGTGTGCAGACATCGGCCGGGCAGCTCGTCGGATTGCAGGTGTGGCAATCCGGCCTTCTTGTAGAGGTTACACTCACCTTTCGGCAGCTTGAGTTTTGTGAAAAGACTCGCCTTGGGCAACTTGGGCCTACTCTTCCTCCAGCTCCTTTCTTCTTCCGGAAGTCCGGGCAGTAAAGTCTTATGCATCAACTCCTGCTCAGCATGCTGCCTCATTGGCAACCTGGTCCAGCTTGGCAATGTGTTTTTCTTGCTTTGGCCCAGCGCATGCACATGCTTCACTGTTTCCTTGCTCTTCCCGTTGCATTCCCTATGAGCACGAAAGGTGAATGTGGACGCGGACATGGTATGTACAGTATATCATAGATCTATATAGATCTAAAATAGGTCAATCACGGTGAATCCAACCAGCTTTTGCCCCAACGAAATGCCTCTGACCATCATGACCCCAACACGGAAACCATTCCGGACCCAAATGTCCAGCCACTTAGGGTCCTCAAAAGCTGTTCTTCTCAGCCCCGACCGCTCATCACCGCTCCCGACCTTGGCGCCTACACACCGAGCGAGACGAGAGACTAGAGACCGGTACAAATCGACCCCGATGGCGAAGGCCAAGAGGTCTGAAAGGAGGGGACCAAAGAAACCATGTCCAAACATGTGAAAACACCACCAAAGGCTTCGAAAACACCGAGCACGATTGTCCATGTTGACCCTCCACATCCACGGACAGATCGATCAAGCAGGCCGCCATGTCAAGAAGAAGTTGTCGCCAACAAGAGCAGCTGCGGCCAGCAAAGGCCAAGGTCTGAGCCTACCAGGCTCAGGGCTCAAAAAATGGAATCAGGGATGGACTCATCGTCTGTTTTCCCAAACCAGCACTGAAGGCGATGCAAACCCTGTTTTCACGATTTAAAACGTAGCTGGTATGGCTAAATGAGCACGGACCTCATAGTCTATCATTCAATGCTTTTGGATCTTTTTGGCAGGTGCTGGCTCAATGTAGTTGGTACAACTCCCAAAATGCGAGGGTGTTTGCATCCCCGTTCTTACAGTCCTTACAACTCTCCGTGACCATGTGCCAACCTGAACCGATACATGTGTGAAGCGCGGCGATGATTTAATGTTTAGCGGTTCACTGTAACGAAAATCAAAGGAAACCACGCACAGCGATTCCAAGAACTTCATCCAAAAGGAATCACAACGACGAGCCCTGGAGTAAGCAAACCATAGCAAACCCACCTACGGCAAACTCACCTACGGCGGAGTTCTTCTAACAAGGATCCTCTGCGGAGAGGCGACCCACCTAAGGCAAACTCCGTGGTGACCTGTTGGAGTCTACGCAGTAAGGTGACTTGCTTGCGGTGCCGCTTCGCACGGCGTTCTCCCCCACATCCGAAGGGAAGGTAGTTAGACGTTGTCCGACCACCCCGGCGAGCACCCACCCCCCCTGCCCCACCGAAGCTTTTTGGTCCTGTTCCATCGGAGCCGGTTTTTCACCGCGCCTCCCCACAGAACAGCAAGACGCGGTAGAGGAGTCCTGGAGTCGGATGGAGTCGGATTCGACACTGCTTTTTGGAATCCTTTCGAGTCTTTGGAGAATTTTTTTTTGAAAAAGCGCATCGAAGTGAAGCTCTTCGAAGTGAAGCTTTTTGAGGATCATGGTCCCATACCATACCTTATTCGGATGAGCTTTCTTGGACCAAGAACGAGTGACTTGTTTAGACACCCTGAAGAAACCGTTTAAACATGTTTAAACAGCACCATCGTCTTCCAGGGAGCAATAGTCACAATATGTCACAATCCTTTCACGTGTTGTTACGATAAATTACATCAAGTGACTAGGTTTCAGGGTCAACAAGGCACCAAAGATGAAGCCAAATTCTTGGATTCAAAGCATACTCATTAATGGCGAGCTCTGACCCCGCGTGTAAACGCAATAGTATCTGTCCCCTGATGTCCCCTGGTATAACCAACGACCGTTCAGCCAACAAGTCCGCTTTCAACAACGAATCCCGGCGCTTGGAAGTGAACAGCACCCTGGACTCGACCTCCAACTTTCCCACTCCAACCACCACGAACAGGTCCTCCAGGTCGCACACCAATCCGATCGTCGTCACACAAAGGGTACTTCGCTCACACTTCTCAAGAACTCTCAAGTTTAGATACGATACATGAAGATATATATACATGAAGCGCCGAAACCATCTGTGAAACCATCCGTCTTTACTCCATCAACCCCCCCACCGTTTGCTGCAGCGGCGCGCCTGGCTCCCGGGCAAAGAGATCCAACGAGGCCGTTTTGGCCCAGCGGCGGCCCAAGGGGCTGTCCACCTCGTGCGGTGGAGAAGCATGACCCTGCCGGGTCCAGGGGTGGAATCGCACTGTGCCGGTGCTTCCTTTTTGAATGCAGCACACTTCCCTTTGGGCCTGGTGTCTCTGGCAGAAGAACGCACCAGCCGTCACCAAGCGCGGTCGCCGCGAGCAGCACGCATCGATTTTCGCCAAGCAGGTCCGGTGCCACTCAGCCATACTCAGCCCATGAGGCAAATCGGGGCAGCATTAGGGTTGGCTTGATTTCCTGCAAACCGCAGCTTTTCACATGCTTTCCTGGAAAGTCAAGAACATGGTTGGAATCAAGAGTGGATGAATATGCAAGAATCTGTGGACTCTCTACAAGCAGTAAGTAGAGCTCCCGCCATCTATTGGTTGAAGGACTTATGTGCTACCTGGACAGCCAAATACGACACTGTTTCACTGCATCCATTGTTCTACGAATCCAGAAACTCCCTCGGCTTCAATGCCACAAGTCAAACCCTTCGAAGCTGCTTCTCCTGTTAATCATGACTTACAGTGCAAAATCCTGTTTCTGGGCCAGAACCGTTTTCCACTTGATCCGAGCGTGCCTGTGTTCCGGTTGTAGTAGATGTCGCTGTTGCTGAAGTGGAAGCAACCGGTGGGGTATCCAGCATAATTCCCCTCGGTGGAGAAGATTTCCCCCAAAGAGACCGCTGCCTGCGCGCGAGACTTTCCCTCGTCGCGGGGCCATCGGTGGTCAAAGGCGTTGCACACCCAGGGTGGAAAGATATGGAGGCTAGGTAGTTCTGAATTGGTCTCGACCGCCTCAACGGGTAGACAGGAACTTGTCTCAAAGAATGAGGGTGAAGGGTGAACGTCACTAGACTCAGCACTGTAAACCTGTCAATGCACACTACCTCAAAAAAGAAAAACACACAACGTTCGATGGTTGTTCCGGTTCCACTATGATCTTGGGTTTCTTTACTCACTAGACAATAACTCTAGACATCATTAAACATCATTAAACTATATAATTGCAGTAAGCTGCATAGTATGTGTAGGCAAATTGCATGCTGTTTGGTTGCTTAAGATGATGCTTCTTGTACCGTTCAGCATCCTTCAGCCTTTCTCAACCCCCACCAGTGGGTGCTTCTACAAGCACTCAGGGTCTGGTGCCTCTCGGCAATCCTCAGGGTCGTCGATGGGATTCCCAAAGCGACACACGTTGGTGTCGAAGTCACCCACGTCGAAGTTTTTGATCACCTCGGCTGGCGCTCGCTCCGTGGTTTTGGGCGAACTGGATCCGAGTGCTCTCGCGAATGAAGGGGGCAAATGTGCGGAAAGCCTCCGCTGTAAGCGAACGAAACATTCAAAGGTTGACCGTTCACCACTTGTCTGTATTTGAGTATTTTTTGTCGGGAAACCAATGCAAAGATTATCCACTGGGTATGTCTTGGTCCGTGCTTGGGGCATGTGGATTGGGGGCGGAAGATTTCAGGCCTCTGCAGGATGCCTCTTGTGCAGGGATTTCTACATACTGTATCATAAAAAGACTCAATTATTATATCATTATTATCCGAGAGCACCTCAGGGTACTTGGATCCTGTAAACCTATATAATCCAGCACCTTTGACAAGGAGGCAATTGGAGGCACTTGGAGGTGTCATGAGTTCTGTCATGTGTCTCCCAGTCCATACATTTGCTTTTTGGGGGATATAAATATATGGTTCCGTGATGGTTTCGGCCGCGCGCGCTTTGACTAATTTTCTCAGACAGTCAGACAGTAGTTCCTAACTACAAGAAGTGCGCGCGCTTCAGTTGGGCAAGTTCCTGCTTGAGAAGTTCATTTTCATGCCGGAGACGATCGTTTTCTTCTTCAATGTCTTGATGCACATGTCTTGATGAACAGGTGCAGGAAGAGCAAGCATTGGAACACTGCCTTGGGAAGTTGATGCCGAGCGAGCACGACCATCTTTCTTGGTTTGTAACCAAGACATCAACGCCGTCTGGCATTGACTCGACCAAGCAGAACCTTGTGCCAGGGTTCCCTGGTTGACTGCGTTGCGTCTGATGGTGTTGATTTGGATCTGAATTTGCTTTTTGGTGACTGCCGCCCTGTCACTATGCACAGCAATGGTTCCATTGTGAATGTTTTCCACGATGTCAGCTGCATCAGGAAAAGAAGTAGGCTCTGAAGAAGCGCTTTGAGACACATTGCCCATGAGCTCCAAAGTAATGTGCTGTCGTTCCAAAGACAAGAAGCAACAGCAATAGTAGACCAAGAAAACTATTATATGTATGTGTTAATGCTAACAAGTGGAAATGTTTCAAAAGTGGCTGTCCGAAATCATCCCCTAGCCAAATATATATATATATATATTAGACCTGCAACCGAAAGGTAAATGGCCTTTCAGCAGCTGGTTTGGTGGGATTGGATGTGAACCTATTCTTTATCGTAAATATCGGGCTTCGAGGATTTTTCGATTGACCCTCAGCCACAAGGGAACCACAGCCACAGACAACAACACCAAGCCAGGCCAGACGCAGCTCGGGGGCCTCTTAACACCGCGGGGTGGCACGGTGCGGTCACCTGGCCAAGCCAGGTGGCAGGGTTCGTTTCGGTCTTGCACACAGGAGAGAAGCTGTTGTCAGCCTCAGCGCTCAGGCGCCAAGAAGTCAACACCCTGAAATGAACGGCAGGAAAATAACGGTTCACCTTTTTCAACCTGTTGGATGTGATTCTTTCAGTGGGGAAACCGCCCAAAAAGCTTGCGGCAGGTGATCCACTTGTTGGGTACCTCCGGTGTGCCTGTCAAGCCTCAAGGTGCCATTGGTATGATGGGACTACGTCGTCTGGGGAATGAAGAGGAGATGCCCCCAGTTCTTTGGAGTAGAGGAATTGATCCAGTTCTTGCACTGAAAAAGAGACTCTACTACCTATATATATATATATATAAAATTTGCCTATACCTCATTGTCGCTCTAACCATGACTTCTGTGTGCGCGCGCATATCTGCAAAAAAACACAAAACTGTCTCACCCGCACTCTCTCTCTCTCTCTCTCTCGCTCGTGCTCGCTCTGCCTCTTTCTCTCCCTCCGTCATGCTGCTGCTCTGGCCACATCTCCTCGAGTCTTCGTGTCTCTGAAAGGATGCCGAGCAGCAGTTCCACCCTGGAAGTAATTGAAGAAGAGGGAGTCCGTGTTCACATTATACAAACAGCCGAACTGACGGTCGTGCGTTGAAACCTGGATCGAAGGGGGTCGATGGAACGAGTTACAGCTCATCGAGTTATGGCTGGCAGTGCTTTTTGCTCCTTGAGAGGTCCCTGTATTGCTCCTTCATTTTCAGGTGTGGTCAGAAGCTAGACACGTGAACACCCATCGGAAGGCACGTGGATGACCACAGGACACCCTTGATCCCGGAGGGCTCAACACCTTGTCCCCGTCGTGGGAGACACGAAGAAGTCCACTGTAATCAATCCCAGGGTTGCCCCAGGAAATGAGGCATATGGAAACGTCAGCCCAGGAGACTCAAGGAGCATATGGAAACATCCTTTTCCACTTAACTTCATGGTGTACGAATGTATACAATTGTCTTTTTCCGGTTGCAGCTTCAATTCAACGGCACAATGTTCGGGGTCACCTAGCCGCTACTTTGTCATCGTGTTCGCCCAAACCAAGGCACCCAGTTCGCGAAGCCAACCCCAACGGCACCTGGACAGGACTTTGGTTGGTAAATCCAAACCCCAAACAGTTTCCGCAAAGGACTGTTGGGGGAGCTGGTCGAATCTGGAAACGTCTTAGAACCACTGTTCAGGAGGAAACCTGACCTTTTGAGATCCCAGGATGTTCGGTCACTTAGGCCTGTAAAGCGCCACTTAGAGACTCCAAAGAGGTCACTTTGAAGGTCCTGGCGGTCCTGGTACTGGTATATATAATTATATAATATATATATATAGACACCCAAGAATCCTTGGACCCTCCATGGCACCGGACCCTCAAAACCCTTTCCATTTGAGGGTCCGAATTCTTATATAATGTATATATATAATTATGGACTGCAACGCACTGCTTGGGAGTACCACCTGCTATTCTATTTATGGGTCTTCTGGGGTTGTGGTACAGATTGGATTCATTGACTTGAGGTATGCTGAACACGAAAGAAAGCCTGAAGCTTCCTTTGCTACAATAGACAGACCGTTCATTTCAATAAGCGCTCATTCAAACAAAAAGCGCTACAATAAAAAGATGCGGCCATTTTGCGCGCATTTTACGCGCAATTTGCTTGCATGATGCAGGTGCCCACCTTTGGCCCATCAAAACTTCAGTCTTCGGCATCTTTAAAACAACAAATAAACTCAACACCCTTCAAACCCGAAAACACGCACATGTCATCTACTCTATAGGTTTGCAAAAGATGTACTACAAAAGAATGTTCAGGAGTGGATCAGTTACCACGACGCGACTCCTGATCGACGGCTGAGAAATACTTTCATGGGCTACTGGTGCCTGGTGAGGAGTTCTCAGTGTTTCTTACTGTCCTCGATCCCTATGAGTTCGCTCCGCTCTATGATTCATGTCGAGTAACCAGTAGAAAGTTGAGAATCTGTGGGAACAAGCACAGCTTTTCATGACATGAATATAAACCAGTTCTTGCAGACTCAAAGAGCCCTCCGAACTCCTCCGGAGCTATCTTCAGACACTTTACTCGCTTGCCAGGACGCAGTTCGGACTCTCAGTTCAGAAGAGGTTATCGGTCAAATCTAAGTAATGTAGGCTGTTGATTACATTAAAATCCCTCGCATCCCGCTGGGGGGGGCTACTCGTCAGCATCATGCAGCATTCAACAGCCAATAATACAGGTCACATGATTTATCTCTATCGGGTGGTGTTCGGAGCCTCAAACACCCCCCATGAATGCGAACGGTGACGAATGAGGAATCACTGAAATCCTAGGTGACCTACAGGCAAATAACATCTTCCCAAGTTTAGGCTCAAATCCTACACAGGCTCCTTCCACTTCTCACCACATGGA